TTATGGAAAGGGATACCGTAACCATGATGAATTCGAGAATGCAATTTTACAATCACTATCTTCTTAAAATCTTTCCTAGTGAAAGCATTTCCTCACAATCATTTTCATGAAGGAGGAAATCTTATGACACTTAGATTTAAATGTATTGTTCCTATCCATGTGAATTTGTTAAAACCAAAGTTTACGACAAATTCAAACTCATATGGATCGAACTTTTTAATCTTGATTTCTTGCCTTATGGTAGCACAGCTGCCCACCACGTCTTCCAAGTAGTTAAGCAGCTCACCTTTTCCTATCAATGTACTTTCCATTGATCAAGGTCCTTGCCTTTTATGCATTCAAATGAGAACTCATAGGACTCACATGCATAATTAACTCGATTGGATTGGCACAGAAACAAAATAATGTCTTCACGATAGGTTGTAAACCTCAACTCGTGTGCTAGTGATGATCGATAAGGTTTATTTGATTCTTGAAACCTTTCAAGACCATTAAGACTCCCACTGACTCCTTGACATATAAGATTCTCTTGTCAATAAACATTTGTTGACAACAAATATTCAAGAGTTAGTGTAGCTTTTATCAAAACACTTCATAAATTGGTCTTAGTTGGTCTTGTCTTATCCAAGACATCACAACTTTCCACAATTGATGAATGTTATAAACCTTCTTAATACTATTCACTCAATGTCACAATCTTGACTTTAAGACTTGTTTTGGAACGAAGTATGATTGACTTCTTGATTTGACCATTTCTTCAATCTTTGATTCCTCTTCTTGGACATACAATTGTACCAAGACTCACTTAGAGGATCAATTGAGATATGGTTCTTAATCATTAAGACCTATCATAAAGCATAAAAGCTACTCTCCCTTCTTCTTAGAATGGGAAAACTTTTATCTTTCTGCCTACTTGATTCTTCTTATTCGTTCTACTATTGATCTAAACCTTTAATCAATTCAGAATTACACTTAATCTTGTAAGTGTAATCATATTTACTAAGCCTTTAGTAAATCATGACGAATATCTTTGTTACTCTTATGGTGAACTTGATCAACACACAACTTTGTGTACTCGATCTCCTAGTCCTTCACTTGACACTTTGTCAATGAATTAGTCTAATTTCCAAATACGTATTTCTCATTCATCGTGCATCCACGTTGCATGATTCCAAGTTTCTGTCCAATTGAAACTTGGGCGATGAGAAACTCTCCCTATTTGGTAAATTCTTGACATTTCCATAACTAAGAATCATATCCATTCGTTGTAGAAATATGCAAACATCAATTTTCATAACAATTTCATTGCAAGGAAGTAAACAAATAAGTTAAACAAAATTTGTTTTATTTATAAAAGCAGCGGAAAAACATTTGTCCTTACAATGCAAAATCTATTGAAAACTATGTAAAAGGAAAATTTCTAACAACTCTATCATAACTATCTAAGCTCAAAATCCAATCTTCAAGTCCATGCGATCGAGATCCATCACTTGTGATTAGATTCATCTTGCTCTCTTATCAAGCTTCCTTTCTTTTCACCGATCCTTCAAAACATTCAAATGCAATCTTATCACATCATGTATTAAGAATCAATGAATAGGAACTTAATGGAGTTAGATAGTGGATTCTTACCTAAAGCGTAGTCATACTTTTGACTCTCCCATCTCTTAGATCTCTTAGGTAAATAGGGCAACTTCGTCTCCAATGCCCCTTCTCTTGGCAATAAAAGCAAATTGACTCCTTTGGAACAACACATGGAACTACTTCAGACATCGCCTTTCTCTTATGATCAAACTTTTCGATCATTGCATGTCTTTCATTGCCATTGTCTATATCCATAGAGGTCTTGAAGGCAGATTCACCAATCAACTTTGCTTTTCTATTGCGCCAAACCATTGTTGATTTAGCAGCAATAAGCATGTAGGTGAGATCTATAAGGGTCACGTCGTGGTTCATCATATAGTACTCTCTTACGAACTCACTATACGAGTTAGGAAGTGACTGAAGAACCCAATCAACACCATCTCTTCACCGACAACGGATCCCATCATTCTTAACCTATCAATGTGTGACTTCATCCCTAAGACGTGTGCACACACCGACTTGCCCTCTTTATGTTTACTTGCCAAAAGGGCTTGAGTGATATTGAACTTTCAATTTTACAATCTTGTGGGTTAGGGAGAATAATTGGAGGAGGAGGAGGAAGTGAAGCATGATTTCTTGTTCCTCGATCGAATCGTGGAATATCATCTTCATGTGGAATGCTTGTTCCACGGGATTGAGAAGACCATAGTTGTCGAACTTTGACATCGGGAGAAAAACGAATTCAAGTTGATTGATTGAGTCCTTGGTAAATCACCCAAATGAAATTCCAAGGCTAGGACCCAACACAATATCCTACAACTCGGGAGAGGGATGCCGTAACCCAAATTGCAGAACATTTGAAGGTAAGTGAATGACGATTCACTAATTTCCACCATGAAAAACGAAAAAGAAATTTAAGTTTTAAATCTATGAAAACTCCTAGATCCTTTGAGATTCATTGAACATTTCAATGGCATGTTTAAATCTCGATATGCCCCTCTAGTTTGTGACTGGGATGCCGAGGATCACAAAGCGGGTGTGAATAACCATGCAAACTACATGGTGCCCTCACATGTTACAATCACCTATTCGATGTGCCGGTAAACCACACACGCTCCACCGAACTATGACAAACATTGAGTCACCCTTTGCTACCTTTGCTTAGAACCATTTAGTGTGCCGGTAAACCACACACGCTCCACTAACGTCTTCGCAAGGGCACAAAGTGTAATTTCATGGAATTGCATCAATTCACTTTTGCCTAAGTAACTAAGATTGGGAATTTGAAAAACATTTAGTTACTTGTATTTCATTATACTTATAATGGAAGGTTTCGTCCTATCCTACCCGTTCGGCTAACGACCCTCCACTAGTCAAGAGTGCGGTGGGTAAGAGTGGATACCCATTCAATCGCCATTTTATAGGCAATTTCCTTAAACACCCCTTATAGACCAGCTTCGTGAATGAGGCCTACTAACGGTAAGACTGACTTTTACTCATACATATATATAATGTTAGACTTTTAATGTTATATATAGTATAGGGTGTATTTTATACTTTTAAAATACTATATGGTTAACTTTAACAATTACACTTTTAATTCAATTAAAAGGTTAACCTAAACTTTATGGATTTATTAAATCTCTTTTAATTATACTCCTTAATTAATTAATAAAACCATAAGGGTGTGATTTGAACTTTTCAAAACATTACTAGGGTTTTAGAATTTAACATTTCTAATTAAACTTTTAATCAACTTTTAAATTCCAAAACTTGATGGCAAGTTTTGAAACATTTCAAAACATTAGGGTTTTAACTATTTAAATTTCAAAACTTAAAACTTTTGGGTTCAAATTTAAACTATAAAACCTAAAGGGGAAAATATGAAACTTTTCATAACAACAAGGATCAAATAACAAATAATCTAAACTAACATTTAGTTACATAATTATCCATATTTGATTTGTTTAATGATTTCTTGCAAAACAATTTATCAATTTACTCAAAATAATTAATCAATTATCTTATAAGGAAACAATTATCTTATTAATTGATAATTATCTTTAATTAGATCAAGAATATAGTCATATATATCATAAAATCGGATTTATATTGATCTAACATGATAAGGTAACTATCCATATGCAAAAACAGCAAGAAATCCCGAGATAAGCATTATCTGACGCTCGAACTCGCCGAGTACCACACTGTACTCGCCGAGTTGAGGTCTACTCGCCGAGTACACTGTGGTACTCGCCGAGTTCCTCAGCCATAAAGCCCAAAAAACGATTTTCCAGTTATACAATGCATCAATACAATTGAAACCAAGCTAGGCTCTGATACCACTGATGGGTTTTGGTCATAAGACATCCTATGTGCTCATACAAACCCTAATGCTTGGATCTAGGTTTCTCTATTGTACATGCTTTGAATCCAAGACTATAAACCCTAATTCTAGCATACAAGTAATCATATTAATATGTAATTAGGTTTAAGATCATACCTTGATTGTTATGTAGCAATAACAATCCCAAATCTCCTTGTATTGACTTTGGAAGGCTTAGAGTCACAAGTGTCACTCCTCTAATGGCTTACAAACACCATAAGCAAGTGGAGAAGGTATAAAGAGAGAGGTGAGAGGTTAGAATTCGTATCTAGGACCTCTTGGGAAGGGATACACGAATTCATGACCCTAGGGGTGTTTATATAGGTGTAGAGATAGGGTTTCAGTCATTATCCTTATCTAGTTGATTATCCATTAAGCAACCAATAAGATAATCCTTGAATCCTTATCATACTCGAATTCTAAGGCTTTCCAACCTTAAATTCGTCCACCATATAAATAAGATAATCCTTACCTTATTTTGTAACTATCACATAATTACAAATCAGCCCCTCTAGTTTAATTAATTACATTTGATCACAAAACTAATTCTTAATTAATTATTGGCCAATATTAGTTAAACAAATATGATTTCTCCTTTAATACATTATTCTTATAACATATTAATAAATCATATTATCCTCTCTCTCTTTATTCATTTCTCCAATCAAGTTGCTTTGGTGAAGGCAACCCAAAAGGACCATGCACCATCGGGTCAAGTACATACCAAAATAGTTATGGACTTAGACACTAATCCAACAGAAAGTGTACAAGCCAACAATTACACGACATACGAAACACACACTAGCTAACTAACGTGAACCCTAGAACAAGAGAATGTATAGAAAAAGAATTACAGTTAAAATGTCAAATAACCATAATCTGACGATATCACTGGTCAATGCAAAATACAGAAAAAGAATTCATAAAAGTACACAGTTCTTGGTCATTGGCAACCAATATTTTTCATTGTGCATACATTACAAGGGAGTGCGGATACATTACAAAATGAACAAAAGGGGACAAACAAAAATCAATCCCTAGAATCCGACGAAGAACTTCCCGGACCCGGCCTGCGATAGAATTGGCAGAAGCTATCATAGTCCAGCTCGACCAGATGAAAGCGGACAGAAAAATCCATCTCAACGAGGGAAGAAAGGGAAATATCCACCTCTTTGACCTTTTCCGAGACACGTTCAGGGTCCATGGCGTTAGATTCACTAGAAGTTGCAGGACGAGGGGCCAACTGTTTCCCCTTTTCCAGTCTAAGGGCCTCACACACCTTCTGTAAGCCTTAGATCCCGCTGTAAAATTCCTCATTTTTGATAACCTTATTGATTATTCGGACCACGCCCTTTTCTAACACCCATTTCAAGTTGCCACGAGCAACATCGCCATCAACCTCGGCACGGGCCAGTTGATGTTGGCACATGGCCAACTCACTCGCCAAAATACTCTTCTCTCAAGCTAGAGAACTCACTTGATTTTCAAGTTGCTCCACTTGGTCTTCCAAAGTGACCACATGATCTTCCAAAGCAGCCTTTTCACAAGCCACAATGTAATATTGATAGGATAGCCTCCGACGTTCTGCCTATGAATCCTTGAGTTCCATCCTCAAGCTAGAAACAACATCTTCCAAAGTTTTCAGCTGAGTTTCATTTATGCCAGGGCGGAAAACGCGGTCAGCGACAACAACCATAAGGGCAGAAGTTTGAGCAGCTGTGTACTGAAGGTTGTCGTCCATGCGTGCGTCCGATTGGGCCGCAAGCAACTTCATTGTGGTCGGAGGATGGGCACACTAACTCCACTCCTGAGCAGCAATGTCTTTCGAAAGTAATGAGTCTTTAGTAACCGCCCAGCCTGGAACGTAAGCTTCGGAAGCCAAGGTATGGGATGAAGTCCTTATTTTTTCAACCATGTAAGGTGTGTCTGATGAAGGAAAGCCTCTTAAAACGCCCATTGCACCTCCAAGGACAGAGCATGCACCGAGATCAGCCGTAAGCGAGTCAACAAACAGAGAAGGCAATGTCTCTGAAGAAGTGGGCACCACTGCTACTTTCCGCTCGGCCATATCAAACCCATCACCAAGAACAGCAATAAACACGCACACTTCATTTTTTTCTGATAGGAGTAGTAATTTTCTTGCTTGACTTGCCACAAGAATATCAGCAGAAGCAGAGGCCGAAGAATGGGCTGGGAAAGTAGCCCCAACAGCCGATTGGGAAGACAAGGCAAGTCCGCTAGAGCCAACATTTCCCCTTTCCGCCGGGAGCAATCCAGCAAGCTCATGTATACATTTTTTAGATACGGTGGGGGGAAGAGTCTCTACAAGGTATAACTCTTGGTGACAAATCTTACCCCGATAAAGGCCACACAAGGACATCTCCAAGGAAATCTCAGCTTCGGCACTTGTAAACACAAACACCAAGCATGAGAACTGACATACAAATAAAATACTATGTTCTTATTATTGTAAAAAAGTGTGTGTGTGTGTGGGGGGGGGGAGATGAGCGAATACAATCTCTCACGATGAAAAATTGTGCCATCTTCTCATGCACCTCTAGGCAACACTCATGCCGGCCTCGGCAAGGACGAAATCTTTCCAGTTCTCCCCGACGAAAGTAATGCTTCCTAGCTGTTTGCCAAGAACCCAGTTATCCCTGAATAGCTTGGGAAGACGGTCGGGAAAGTCTCGGGTCTTACAAAACCCATGCCCCACAAGGTTTCGGTTGACCCATAGCCATTGCCTCTACCAATTTTTCTTCAGGTTATCTTGCTCAGAGATTAACTGACGAATGCTCCGCCTTTTCGCCAACGTGCAGACGCCAAAGTTCGTAGTTGCACAAAAGAAATAATTGAAGACCCCACAAGTGGGTATAAAACCCAGGGACCGACAGATCAGTTCGAAGCCCATGATCCTACTGACGACACTTGGGATTAGTTCATCAACAGAAAAAGTCGTAGTTGTGCACAATCATATCAAAGAAGCCAAACGTTGGCAAGCGTAACCCCACTTCGAATAGAGCAACAGGAACCCCCAATTTCTGTTGGGTTTTGGGTATAATAAAACATCTTATTGTGCACATACAACCCTAAATACCTTGGATCTATGTTTTCTATATTATACATGCAAATATCAGTTTTTCCAAGGTATTGTTCTAACTAGCATAATATGAAGAACATATAATATAAATTATAGTAGAATTACATACCTCTTTGTTGTAGCTTGATTCCATGGAGCTTAAGAGCCTAGTGCCTCAAGTATGACACCTCAAATGGTTCACACAACATCACCAACATCTTGGAATAACTTGAGAGAAAAGGTTCCTATGCTCAAATTGGCTATCCCTCTCATGTGTACACACACTAGTACCAATTTCTTGACCCATGGGGTCCTTTTATATGGTGGCTATTTGGGTTACACCATGTAACTCATGTCTTTCCATATTCTTCATGCTCAATGGATTAAACCCCCATGGAGTATCCATGGGTTACTCCATGGGTTTAGCCCAACATGAAGAACTATGCATCATAAGCCCACATATATAAGAATGAATGATTTACACAATCAATCCCCATATATATAATTAGTCTCCTTTTGATCACATAATTAATTCCAAATTAATTCTTGATCAATACTAATTAAATAATATTATTGCATATTAATATATTAGAACTTATAATATATTAATAAATCATAATTATCCTTTTCTCACAAAAGTCTATCCAAATTGTTCTGATGCCATGCAACCCAAATGGACCATGTCAATCGGGTCAAGTACATACCAATTATAGTTATTGACTTAGACACTAATCCAATAGTCTCCCACTTGGATAAGTCTAAACCTATTATTGCGTATGACTTCGAAACCCGACTAGCATTCTTAGCTCTTGAAAGCTGTTTTCGAACTCTGAACAAATCAATGACGTGTCCATTAGAAAAGGGATCATATATTCCTTCATTCTAGATATCATATGGACTGAGACATGGATTATAATCATCCTCTCTATACATTTGTTGTTTCCCGACTTCCCATTTATGACGACCGACTAATTGAACAAATCAAATCAGTCCTGGCTTGGCCAAGCACTTTGGGGTGTCATCACTAAATCATTGAGGGGACCACAGATATCGCTTTTATCCCTTTAAGGCTAAAAGGAATGGATAAATTTCAACTCATATGCGTGTTCTAATACTTGTTGAATCATACACAAAGGCACACTTTATAACATCAAGTTACCAATGTTTTTTCGTACAATTAATGCATAACCAAACTCATAGGCAGCAAGTCATATCTCTAGGTTTGAAGAATATAAGATATTATCGTCTCATGATCACTCGTGATAAAATCCATGAAGTGAGTCAAATGAGCGTGGGTTGAATCCAATACTTAGAACTTATGAGCACTCATGAATGTTGCAGCAACACTTGTTATGTCCACTACCTTGGACATCTACAAACCAACTTCATGATAGTCTTGATTCATATCTACTTCCAACATATGACCAACTGTGGATGGTTTGAATAACTTAGTAATTCAGGAAAACGACCTAGTTATTATAGAAGTCAAAACATGCAAAGTGAAACACAAGAATAATCGAATCCAATATGGTCTCATAACTTATGACTATAATTAAAACATCTTTTATTTATCACCATATTAATTACCCATCATTCATTGCATACTGTTTCAAACTATCAACTTTATACTTGAATTAAAAACAATAGTAATCCCATGTTCCAAGCATGTACACTATGTTTTTCTAAACACTAGTCATGCCATACACCAAGTACGTACACTATGGTTTTCCAAACATTAGTTATGCAATACACCAAGTATGCACACTATGTTTGTCTACGATCTTTACTTTGTGAAATATATCAATTGAACATAATTCCAATGATTCTCATTTCACAATCCCAAATCCTTACTACAAATGCAATAATTCCAAACTCCTGCCATTTACCTAAATCTGTTAGATTTTGAACTTATATGTATTGATCCTCTTATAATGATTATGCACAAAGTCACAAAGACTTGTCAACAGACATTACAGAGTATTCCAATGGAGATCATTCCATGGAAATCAAGTCTCAAATTCAAAGTACATTGCTTTGAACATCCTTCTTGCATTAAGCTTCCTAATCTTAGATAGATTTAATGAATAACTTCCATTTATTGTAACATTTCCATATTCCCATTTTAACTATCACTCCTTAACAAGAGTTGCCTCTTTTCAGAATATGCCAATATGGTCCTTCCAAAATTTACACCATACTTCCAACTGTCCCAGAGCAACCAATCTTTGGTAAACCATAGATTTTCCTCGATAATTTCTTAATCATTTTAGTCATATCTAATTCTAGACTTTTCCCCTACTAATTCCCCGAGCATTTGGAATATTTATAAAGGATGAATATTATAGTACATGCAATCGATCCTATATCCGAAGCATATGGGACACGATTCATGATGTCTCACATAAACACTAAACCAGTCTTTTGCTATAATATTTCTATTTCTATTTACCAAGTTCTCATAATTCAGATAATGAAAAAGGGATGTCGTAATCATAACCGAATTTTAGAACGCAAATAATGGACTCATATATAGAATTTCCTTATGTTGAGCCATTCCAACATAATATATATATATATATATATATATATATATATATATATATATATATATATATATATATATATATCCTTGACTAAAGATGATTAAAACCTCAATCTAAGCTTTTAGAATTGAAATGAACTATAATTTCCTCTCCCTTAATTATAGCAAAACAACTTTTTACCAATTGAAACCTTTTGTTTTCTATAATTAACATTGCTAACTTGCAACACTTATCATAATTATCATGCTCCCACTAACATGAGAATTATCAGCATAACACTTATGCTCCCACTAGCTTTGACATGTACTTAGAAATCAGTTGGACTTCTAGAAATCAATACTTTATTGACTTTCTTACCAAAGTTTAGACTTCTGATATGAGATGCTTTGATAAAAACTTTATCAAAATCATACACCTTTCCTTGGATAGCACACATGTGTGTCTAAACAATTTCAGGACTATGAAAAGGGTTGTCGTAATCATAGTCTCAATTGTTTAGACCTTTACCATTCATCACAAGTCCATGTTAGTGTGTCAGTTAACCACACACGCTCCACTAATGATTTTGAGAATGAAAATATCACAATTGCTATCTACCTAAAATCTACATAGTGAAAGCGTTTCCTCACTATCATTTTCATGAATCGGAGAGAAACCTTATGACACTTAGATTTTTAATGGTGTATGTATTCTTATCCATGTTAATTTGTAAAAACTATAATCACAAGACATGGTTAATGACAAATCCAAACTCATATGGATTGAAATTGTGCAGTCTTAACTTCTTGCCACCTGGCAGCACAAGGGTCCGCCATTGCTTCCAAGTTGTTATGCAACCAATTGAGAACTCTCATAACTCATATGCAAAGCCAACTTTCACAGGAATGGGCACAAAAGTAGGAATATGTCAACACGATAGGTTATAAACCTCAAGTCGCGTGCTAGTGTTAAACTACAGGTTTTACTCTTGATTAGATCTTGAAATTCTCTCATGATCTTTAAGACTCCCACTGTGCTCTTGACATATAAGACTCTCTTGCCAACTATTCAAGAGATAGTACGGATTCTTTATCAAGACAAACACTTCACATAATTGGCCTTAGTTGGTCTTTGTTTTATACAAAACATCACAACTTACCAATTTCACATGTACAAGAGTAGGACACTTTTACTCTTACATTTGACAAGTGTTATAAACCTTTCTTTAAGATATGTCAGTCAAGTTACAATCTTGGAGTATGAATCTAAGAATTTTTTTGGAATGAAGTAAGACTCATCTTCTTGATTTAACCATTTCAACAATTCATGACTCCTCTTCTTAGCTATAAGAATGCACTAAGATGTCCTTAGAGGATGAATTGTGATATGGTCTCACAATCATTAAGATGATCATAAAACATGATACTAAAGTACCCTCCCATCTTTCATATTTGAGAAACTTTTATCTTTCATCCTTATTTGATTCTTCTCATTCGTTCTGCCATACATAAAAAATTTTCCAATGCTTCAGAATTATACTTAAACTTGTAAGTATAACCATATTTACTAAACTTTAATAAATCATGACAAATAGTCTTATCGATTTTTTGTGGTGGACTTGACCAGTGCACAAGAATGTGTACTCAATCCCTTAGTCCTTCACTTGACTCACATATACATGTGAAGAAGCAATTAGTCTTAATTTTCCAACGATGAAAATTCTCATTCATCATACTAGACAACTTGCATGATTTCCAAGTTTCTATTCAACTGAAACCT